TTTAAATACATTTTTCTTATTGGCCATTTTTTATTAAAGTAGTAATAAATTTACAAATGATATTTTGCTAAAATGACACACACTCAGCTTTTACAGATCTGTCTACCTGAACGCAGTAGATTGTCGTCTGTGAACGAGTTGTTTTTATAATTTGGCGCGAAAACAGTGAACTTTTCAATAAAAAAAACAAAAACTGTCTTTGAGCTTTTAGACGAAAAGTTACCGTTTTGTCCCATTGTTACGTAAATAACAGTTTTTGTCTGTATCTGAGCGAGTTATTTATTTATCACGGTCTGTGCATCCGCCCTTTAGAGACAAAGGTCTTTATTGCTACTTGTAAGTATATTTTGTAATTATCACCTATAGACAATGAACATAAACAGACACCATATCCACCCAGTTATATGGCAATCTTGTGTTTCTAGTGTGTTTTTGCAGCATGTCCAAACATTGCTTTTATATCTTTCCCAGCGCGTATTTTGAAATCACAATTGCGTTTGAAAACGGGTTGAATATAAAGTAAAATGATGATTTTAGTTTAGATGGGAAAGTACTCGTATTTAAAAAATAGTATATTTTTGCAAAGATAAACGATTGTATTTTTAATATCATTGACTGGAGATAATCAAACAGTGAGTCTTTATGTCTGCCACGAATGTCTGTGAAATATATGTTTGAAATGACCGAGTGGTTAAGGTAGTTGACTTCAAATCATTTGCCTTTCACCCCTGTGGACCCGAATCCATTCATGTGAGAAAGCTATCCGGTTCATTTGAACCTAAATAGGTACCCCTTGTGGCAGAAGAAGTGGCACCTGGTGTCTTCCTCTACCAGTAAAGCTGAAAAGTCGCAGTTTGACCTTTCCAGTGTCGGAGTGAATTAAATAAACAAATATTCGTTAAAACAACCCAAACACATTTGAAGCCAAAAATTCTCCTTATTTTATAAATTAAATTCTCAAAAAGAACTATTTGACTCAACAAGCGAGCAAACCAAAAGAAATAGATAGAAGAAAATGTTCAACGTATGTCTTTAGCGCACACCTCTTTTCACATTATAAGAAGTGTTTTAGAAACACATATTTTGTACTGAGTAATTGGTTAAAAAGAATTACGTATATACATTTTTGAACACCATTGAAAGAAGCCATATTGTTTTGGACACTGAAAACTACTATATCAAAATGTATAAGTGTACACTAAATTGTCCTTTTCAGTGCTTTTCATTGTCACATTGACGATTTGTGTCCTAAGATTTAGTGTTTTTTGTTTCAGATTGTCGAATACATACATTAAGTTAACATTGTTTGAGTATATTTATGGAAAAACTGTTTTGTGTTCATTATTGACGAAGTGTTACATGCATTAATTTGGTAATGACATGTGTGGTTTCATAGCACTAATCAACCTTTATGTAGAAGGCATATACACCCAAATACGAACTTCAAAGAGTAAGGTTTGGATATATCCTTCTTTATTGACCTATAAATATATACATCGGTTTGAATTAAGGACAAAAAAACCAGATCAAGTCTCCTCTTTCATAGAAGATATAAACGGAATAATTTTTTTTTCTTTGAGAGGGAGATATCTCCAACCGAATATGACTTACTTAGAAACTTTCATGAAAATGACGTTAATGTGAAGAGGTTTGAAAACTTACAAAAAAGTCTGATATCAAAGTGGCAAGGAAATTTTCAATTAAAGAAGTTTAGAAGGCATCACAAGACGGCTGCAATCAATACAAAAAATATATTTCTTAATATAGAATAAGGTTTCGAGTGACATTTATTGGATAAGAATAATTTTAGACATTAGGTGCAAAGAATATTTCTCGTGATATTACATTTATATCCAAACATTTTTGTCTAGTTCTTCAACTATTGGCGAGGTCTACAATTTATGATAATTGTATTATAATTCGTGCTTTCTCAAGAAACATGCTTTTGAAATAAAATACACATTTTGGTGAGAATGAGATTGAAAGTCACTTAACTAAACGGCAATTCAAAACTATTTTCGGTCCTCATGTATCTATCAATACAATAAAATTGTAATTTAAATAATAAAGTTATGTTGAAGTTGTTTCATTTGTAGTATTGTCTAAAATTTAAAGAAATACTGTATGATGAAGATTTGTAATTTACCAAAGAGCATGTTTTCGGAGTGTATGGCGTATCTACTTTAATAAATAGTCTATTTGTCTTAACATATAAGGTGTTTACTTTTATATGTTTGTTTTTATTAGACTTTCAATAAAACCTGCTTACTACTTAAGATGTACATTTAGATGACAACCTTTTGAAATAATTAACAATAATGGTATTTAATTTACAAAGTCATAAAGTGTGTATATGGGCGTAACTTCCGAAACTTTTTCGACATAAGTAAATCGTTTGTTTTCACTTTTTATGTACTGTATACTTTCGATTCACTGTTTTTAAGTTAACAGATGAAAAGCGAAAATGATTCTAAAAACGTTTACTTTTCATTTGTTGTTACAACATTTGAAAGGGGACAATTAAGTTTTGCTATGCACATATGCTACACTTAGCTTAAATATGACAACTATCATGAAAGGGTCATCCACCTTGCCGTATACTGTGCTAGAGTATGAAATATTTCCTGAAAGGCTCGACCACCTAGCTTTATTTTGTGTCATGATATAAAATCTTTCCTGAAAGGGTCATCCACCTAGCCGTATACTGTACTAGAGTATGAAATATTTCCTGAAAGGCTCGACCACCTAGCTTCATTTTGTGTCATGATATAAAATCTTTCCTGAAAGGTCCATCCACCTAGCCGTATACTGTGCTAGAGTATGAAATATTTCCTGAAAGGCTCGACCACCTAGCTTTATTTTGTGTCATGATATAAAATCTTTCCTGAAAGGGTCAACCACCTAGCCGTATACTGTGCTAGAGTATGAAATATTTCCTGAAAGGCTCGACCACCTAGCTTTATTTTGTGTCATGATATAAAATATTTCTTGAAAGGGTCAACTATCTTGCCGTATACTGTACTAGAGTATGAAATATTTCCTGAAAGGCTCGACCACCTAGCTTTATTTTGTGTCATGATATAAAATCTTTCTTGAAAGGGTCAACTACCTTGCCGTATACTGTACTAGAGTATGAAATATTTCCTGAAAGGCTCGACCACCTAGCTTTATTTTGTGTCATGATATAAAATCTTTCCTGAAAGGGTCATCCACCTAGCCGTATACTGGGTAAAGATATGAAATATTTCTTGAATAGGTCGACCACCCAGCCGTATACTGTGATAAAATATGAAATATTCCCTGACAGGGTCAACCACTTAGCTGTATATTGTGGTAGGATATGAAATCTTTCCTGAAAGGGTCGGATACCTTGTCTTATACCTTTTATGTTATGACGACCAAAACGCTTGCAAAAATCGTTTGTGCACTAAGAAAAATGTGTTTTTTCTTGCACATTTAATCAATTTTATTTTCGTAATAGTTTAGATAGCTAAGATAGCTAAATTTTTGAAATTAGGTATTATTTGTCCTATTCATGTATGTCCTGTATTTGATACCTGCATTCTTTTACCAAGAAACCAGGAATATTTGGCCGCTTATATAGTCAAACGAGTTGATAAGAACAAATCTGAGAATGTCGTATTGGTAACGTTCTTCGAAAAGGGAAAACGTCTATCTAAATTGTCAGATTAACGGGTAGTAATGGTTGACCATACGGATATATGTTCGTGTATTTTGAAACCAGCCGAGAATAAGCATTTTATTAGCATGTATATATATGGAGTTGTTTAGGATAGGCCGATGTTCAGATGTTTAGATATCATATTTGAGGTGTTGTTTCAATATTGTGCATTACCTGCATACATACAGCCAAAAGGCAAGTCTTTTTTATCAACATTTTGATAGTGAAATGCATTAACAAACACCACATTTTGAGCAAAATAAGATTATATCAATTTAAATAACATGTCCCGAAAGCTCGTTGTCATTGGCAAGATTATAGCAAAAATGCAAACGATGTATTATTGGCATGGCTTTATAGTACATTACGTATATATTGTTAAATCTCATGAAATGCACATGAATCATAAAGGAATGAAAATTGTTTTAATCATTATGTTTATGGTGTTTCCCCTGAAGTTTGAAATAAACTGCTTTTTAAAAATATTCAGGTTTGCTTTATCCTATAATTGACATAAGCAATGAGTTCACTTTTATATTCAGATAAAAGAAACCTGAACAATTATCATATGAAATTTAAATTGAAACTGTTGCCGTGATTTTTTTTTTAAATCATATCGCATATCATTTATACTGTACGGTTAAGTTCCAGAGCAAAACTGTTCCAAAATGAAAAATATTGGCATTACTTGCCATTTACTAATGCAAAGGGGACAACGATTATGCCATGAGGTGTTACCGCTATGGTTATTTCTTCAACAGTCTATATATATATCATATTGACTTTCAAAATACACAAGTACACGCAATGTATTTCAAGGACAGTCAAGCGTTCTAACGTGATGAGTATAGGAAGTTGTTGTCAGATGTCAAGTAATTTTGAACAAATCTGATCAGAACAAACGCATATAGCTGTACATGACTCATTATTTCCAAATTTTAAAATAAGTTGATATTGCACTCTTATATAGAAAGTATTATAAAGTATTTAGCTTAGTCGCTTTCAAACAATCTTGAATTGAATTAAGTTTTTTAACAATATATTAACGACTTGATTTAATAACAAAATTACATTTAACTAGAATTGTACATTAAAACGATTTTACATGCTTACAAAAGCACACATGTACAGCGACATATGTTTTCAACGGATGCTATGTTCAAAAGTTTGAGATAAAGCTACTAAAGACTGAAACATATAGATTCAATAGGTACAATTTAATAACATTTACAGTGGCTTTTGTGAAATTCACACGTTTTTAAAGAAGATAATAAAAATATTCAAACAAACCAAAATAAAATATAAAATCAACAGTGTATAATTTACTGAAAATATTTATTTAAAACAATTTCAGCATGGCAATTATGTTTGTCTTCATACAAAACCTCGGAAAGTATCACATAAGAAATTGTTCTTTTTCAAGAAATACATACCGCAACGTTAAATGGAATATAAAAGTTATCTATTTTTGGAATGTTTTTTTTCAACAGCTATCAGATAATCCTACAAAAGTGGGTAGTCACATGCTGGGTACAAATGCTTCTTCCTGTTATCCAAGAAATAACAATGTCTTCTATACAAGGGCACATTCTTTTGGGCTGTAAAGAAATTAAAAGAAAATAGTGTTAAATAACATTGCAATCAAATATGATATATAGAATTACATATACATATATAATACTTGAAAGACTATAAAAACGACGCTGTACGATTATTGGTTCACATGACATACAGTTATCAAAATAATACAGACAAAATAGGAACATTAGGGTCAACAGTAAAATTAAAAATTGAAAATGGTGCAGGGTTGTTGTAGGGTTGTTTCGACAGTTAATAGACAAAAGGTGTAATCACAACACCCCCACCACCCAACCTATCCCTGGTTTAAACATTGAAATTGCTTTTTATTTTAAATTACAAATTCTCAAATGTGTACATATTGTAGTGATTATAGATTCCGTGCTATTCATTGAAAGAAAAACTAGGCTTCGAATTTTGTTCATTGTTTTTATATCATTAGATGATTTTTTACAGATTATCTTTATTTGCATGAAAACATAAATTATTTTTTGTCATCTAGCCTAAAAAGACCATTTTTATTATTTTGAATGGATATCTTCATAACATTGTACTTCATGCTTAATACTGGTATTCTTTTAAAAATAAATTCAAAAACCTGGATTCAATATCAACACAAATACATTCTTTTTTATCTTTTTAAAACCCCATTACTCATGACCACATATGAATAAATATAATTATATTTTTGAATCAAGTTTTAGAAACTTAAAATACACATGAAGTAAATGTCTTGTAATAAGAGAACAATGGTCGTATTGTTAGAGTCCAAATTTCACAACCGTGAATTATGTGCAGCAACAATATTATCCGAACTTGCCATATCTCATCTTAAAGATGACTCAATGTAACACTACGTGAAGTATTGAATTTCTAATAATTAGATGACCAAAAATATGACTTAGAAAGGGCTTATTACATTTTAGCGCCAAGGAAACACAAGTCACTGGAGAAATATAGACCTCACATGCAGATATTCCAATATTAAAACGTTATTATTGGTAATATGGCAATATAATGATGTCAGTAATTGTATGTATTGTCTTTCAAAACGATGTGGTAATTAAAGATGTGTCGCTCAAATTGTTCCATAAAGAGGAGGAAGTTAGAAAAAAATATTTCAATATTTCTCTCCCTTGTCCATAAAATTTAGATTTTCATTGTAATATGTGCAGTAATTGCTTCAGAACAAGAACAAATTGGTGCAGTATATTTGGTTTTTCCAATCTTTGAAAAAAATGTAGCGTATCTTTGAATGTCATAGAATGGTTTTGTATCAAATTTCTTATCTTTCCAGTTTTTTTTCTAATACTGCTAGACGACAATCCTTACATGCATATTTCAGCATTTACTTTGCTACTAACAGAAATTGCTTGGCAGTCGCAAATATTCGTGATTGTACTCATAAATCTTTAATAAACAGGGGGGAGATAGAGAACAAGATTTTCAGAACAAGGATTTCTACCCTTGAAAGGTAGTTGTAAGTTAAATAACACAAAAATGTATGATCTTTCAAAGGCTAAGCTATGTATTGTCTAACTTGGGTTGTCATATTTGAAGAGCGCAGGTTATGGGAATCAAGACGTGAATGCATGCAAACAGGATGAATGTGTACATTACCTCACTTATGAATGAAGATAGGAAGACTGATCGTGAAAGGTTATTGTATTACATTGTATTGAAACATTCGAAACAATGTATAGTCTCAAAAATAGTGTAAGTTTTCAGAATGTGTATGTTTTACAAGAAGTATTTTTTTTCTAAAATTTAGCAGAATGAATTTAATAGCAAAATGCTTCTATTACTCAATCGAATATCTAAAAGTTTCATTTATTTTTAGTTAAGAATATTATATAAACGTAGAAGATTCTCGTTGAGTAAAATATCCAAAACTAGGAAAGAAACAAGAAAGAGAGTTCATAGGTGTCAATATAATGCAGAGTATAATACTTACTAAAACATGTATAGATAACTTTATTCAATGTGTTGCAAGAAGTGTTGGAATGGGCATGATAATTTCAAAATTCATGAAAGAGTATCTATTTGAGACTTCAGTAATACTAGATAAGTGAATAATTGAGTTTTGAACTAGGGTCTTTGACCGAGACAAAATGATTAAATAGATATTCAATGTCAAACATTAGTTAATTCAAAAGCTAAATGTTCGTCAATTAGTGTAGAAATTGAAACAAAATAATTAGATATTCACTTGATGGCCAAAATGAATGATATAAAAGTAAAACATAATTGTATGCGGTAAATAGAAAAATATAAAACTAAGGATAATTTGACATTTCAAATTGAGACCACTGTCGTATCAAATGTAAAGTCAGTGTCAAGCTCTGCTTGTTAGGCTCTGAGTTGTTTGTTTGTTTTTAATTTGGAATAGGAAGCAGTGATACAAGATGTACATATTCTGCTATATTTAAAGATATATGTATATGTAAAGAGCAAGGTTCGTATTCTGTACAAACACTACAAGACTACAAACGTTGTGTAAGAACTAACGCCATGCATTTGGACACCGTCTATACATTTAAGTGAGCACAATTTATGACGCATTTGATGGTTGAAGCAGAAGTAACTTTAGAGTAATTGTATATGTTAGTGCTTAAAGTAAGAATTTAGATAACTTTATAGTTAATATATTGAAAAACACAGTTTTCTTCTAAACATTGAAACATAATTATTTACAAATGAAACATTAATTTAAAAAAAATCATTTGAATTTTCAAGTATATGCTGGAAAATATTAGAATATGCTGTTAATAAATTATGCATTTGTTTAATATTGATTTGTAAATACATTTTTAAAACAAAACCATGATTGAATCTATAATTTAGATGGATTCTTGTACTTGTAGAGTCGTATAACATGAAACCAGTTGTTAGCAGATAATTGTTTAATAGATAAAATCATGTAATTCTTTCACATTACGTCACAAGAGAAAGTATAGATATGCTATCGAATAACGCAAAATCAACGGGATCTATTAACGTTATTTATAATTCCTTTGTCGTGTAAATAATTGTATGTTATTATCAAAATAAGTGACTGAATAGTATGAAATAACAATGACTTTGTACATATACACTGGCTGCTATAGCAAAATCTATAATTCTTTATGTGCAACAGTATACATATAGAACATAACGTTTTTGAACACGTCCACGTTCAATGCTAAATTTTCAATTTGTCACGCTTGACTCATTGACACTTCTGTATATGAAAGGAATATTCTTAGATTGAAGTTTGAAAATAATTTCATATAAGTAAGTTATTGTAAAGGGCGTTTACTTGATCTATGCATCTTATTAACAGACTCCTAAACACCTGCACATCCGACTTGTTTGCAACCAAATTGTCTCGTTGACAAGATTGAAGTACAACATTTATTGGGGTACAAAATAGATCAAACATTTAAGATTGATTTCTTAATTTGGTGTATTTAAGGATATCATATTTAACAGAGTTAGGAGTTCTAGCTTTAGAAACAAAATTAATTTAATGGTATATGAAAACCAGTATAAGATTGTACCTGCTCGATGGGTTTTATTAAATTGTTATCAATTTAAGGGAATGATCCTAAAATTTAAAACTTCAGAAGAGATGAAATCACTGGAATCGTTTTTATAACTTTATCAACATCGAAGGAAAATAATTGAAAATGATACATTCCGTGAAAATATTACTAAACCTCCTTTTATCTACTTTTTAATTTATTAATCAATTTTCAAACAATATTTTGAGAGAACAAAGAAATGAATTGAAATGAATATGTTACTGTTTTTCTTTTTGTTATTGCATTTTGTGCTAATCAAAAGTATAAATGGTATTTTTGTAAATAAATATATTCTAATGAAATGTAAACGTCATTATACGAGTAATGGTTATAATGTGTAACTGTGTAACTTGGTTCTTTAACATAGGGCTATGGGACAAATGTCATCAAATACTTTCTTTCGTGTGACTGATGCTTTACTAAGATTTAATTATATTTTACAGACTTAATTAACATATTCAAACTGCCACAAATGCATGAATATTTCATACTATATACCATTAGAATTCAATATTCAACCTTATTGTTACTGTAAATCTCACGTCTAATTCTTACAAAACTTTTGATTAAAGAAATATTTATACATATATATTCATTTGAATTCAAAGCAATGGGCAATGTTTTGTAAAATGAATTGTTTTTTTTTGACATTTTTTATTTATCACTGATAAAAATGTTATAACAAGGACACTTATAAGTGTCATTTAAGTTTTCTTGAATGTTGCTTTCACTACCACTGAATTGATTAGTTCGTAATTAACAGTTGTCTAAAACTTTTGCAATTGTATTTTTGTTAAACGTTATGTAATTCCTCAAAAGCCGAAAGGACACACAGGTATATTCTGCTCGTATCCATAAATACGGTATTATGTATTCTCCAATGAGTATGAAAAGTGACTTTTGCCAAATATGAAGTCACAAAAACTTGTTTCATTTACTTTAAATGTGGATATGCACAATGATATGTTAGATTGTTACAAATTGCTTCAGTATTGATCTATCTTATAATACTGCTAGATTATATTCTATATAACTGAATTATATTGCAACTCTGATCTCTGGTCAACAGCTCCTTGTTTCACATAGAGAAATAAGCGCATAATAACATGATCTTTACTATTGTTATTGACATTTAATACCAGTTTGTCTTTACTCCAATCAGAACCGACCTGTCTTTTTCCAAATTGTTCAGACTACTTTGTGAACGCGTTTTAATATCCAAATGTAGTCCCAAAATTTTAACATGTTTCTTCCCCATACAATACGCAAATTTGTTTTTGTTTTTTTCAGTCAAGAGGTATCACCCAAATATTACGTAGCATAGGGGCCAAATTTTATCCGATTTCTTTGTCTGAAACAGCAGACGAAAAGTGCGCGTCTAGACTACATGTAATCAAATTATCAGTGCATTACCGTGAAAATAAATGCCAAGTCATAAATAAAGAATTTAATTTGCA